CGCGTAAGAAAATCAGGCGATTGTATTGATATATGCTATAAGCATGGTATTCTTGTACAAACAATAGGTTTCTCCAACGGTTTGTCAAAATTTTTCTATAAGTAATAAAATTTTTAGGTATGTTCATCAAACTTAATAAATACCTACAACCAACTATGATTATCAACGATTATATTTATTTCTTTTACGTTTTATTAACAATAAATACGTAAACAGATGTAAACTTATTACATCATTATCTAAAAGAAATATTGTTTTAAACATTAAGCTAAAAAAAGTAGCTATGGAATAGTTTTCTTGTAAAGGAGTAGTTATCATTTACGTATAAATTTTTGTAAGGCCGCGGCTTTAGAGTCACGGTAGCAGCAAATTTATCTTCAGTAATTTAAGTATTTAATACCAATTAAGTATTTTATAGTATTAAATAATAAAATAATCAGAATAATTAATCCTTAATTAGTAATTCTTAGCCGACAAAGTATATTGTCACATTATTCTTGTAAAAAAATACATACCTACATCCGTAATCATATGTTAACACGTTGTTCTAGCAAAATTGGTGACAACCTTGACGACAATAGTATGATAGCTTCGTACGCTAGATTAAAGAAACGTAACTACTAACCTATTGTCGTCTTTTTCTAATACACGCCCAAGTCTAATAATGCAGTTTCAATATTTTGTCATTTTTCATTTCTCGGCACGTGCTAATGTTTGTTTACCAATTTTTTTAGTTTGCGTTATTATCTCTGAAGAGACGGTTCGTTTCTTACTTTCGTATGTAAAAAAGAGGGTTTCAGTGTTAATGTTTATTAAAATTTAGTGGTTTAAAGAAGATAATAATGGACGAATTAAAGAAGCCCAGTGCACGAAAGAAACTTGACGTGCAAGGTAAGTAGGTACATACCTGTTAACTCTACGTAAACAAATTATTTCAATTACTAATTTCCTATTTCTACCTCGAATGGAGCCTATCACGTCTAGGCAAACGTACTTTAGGGCACCTGTAGCTCGGTGGGGTGACGATCTGCGCAAGAAGACGGCTGGCAACTGTATTGAATGCGCAAAGCGTGGGACCGATCACAGTGACGCGCTTTGGGGGAGACCTATGTCCAGCAGTGGACTGCTACAGGCTGATGATGATGAAATACCTATTTGAACTTATTGCCTAGTTGTTTATATTCTGTGAAAATGATAGATTACTCTTTTAAAGTTCGACAACGGATTTTAATTAATGTACTTAGATATAGTACTATCACCTTTTACCTACATAAAAAAATACTTTTACTTACCATAAAATTATATTTAACTAGGTACGAATGTCACGTTGACCGCACTTAGTTTACCTTATTTCCGTAAGTTGCCTAGGCCCTCTCATTATTTTCTGGGTCTATTTTTGATGTAGGTTGAAACTAACCTTTATGTATAATAATGAACAATTTGTATAGACTTCTAACAGTAACTAAAGATACCTACCCGTTCTTCTTCCCGTCTTCTTCTATCTTCTAAATATGTTATTTATTTACAATTCCAGTAACTGAAACTAAGAAAGAAAATGAAAAGGGTAATGAAAGCATTCCCAATGTGTATCACTTAAGAAATATACCCAAAACAACATACTTCAGTAGCAGTGATCGCAGCGAAGATTTTTCTGCAGATGAATCTGAATACATACCTAGTTCACAGCGAAGAAGCGTCGATACGTTGAGTAGTTTATCGAGTCTGGGCGGAGATTCCCCTCGTATAGAAGCCATGTCTGAAAAGATATCGCGGGCTCCGTCTGTTATATCAAACCTTTCTTCTATATTAGGCGATTGCGACTTCGTAGCCTCGCCAATTGTTATTTACAAAAGTAAAAGTACTCAGAGTACACCGAGCTCTAAAAGGCATAAAACAAGTGAACAGAAAGAACAAATCCAAATCTTGGATATTACTTTGAACCCTCCAAAAATGTATACAGAATTTCAATGTATTGAAAAATCTTTTGATAATAGTTCTGCCATACCTGATTCCGAATCTTTGATGGATGAAACACTCGTAGGTGACTTAGATAGCTCACCATCACTTCTAGGCAAAGCTGATGATACACTGACAGAGGACGTAAACACTATTAATCTACTATCAATTGAAGAAGACGCTTTAAATGCTAATACTAATAATGAAGAAATAAATAAGGAATTTCATTTAGAAATAAATAAACAGGCTGTTAAGAAAGATACAGGAATCCTAAATACAAACACTGGCAATGAAACTCATCAGTCTCTCTCTATAACTATAGAAATTACTCCTGGAACCCCAGAGGACGTACAAACCTATGATGATGTGCCTAAATCACCAAAAAACTTTGAACGGCTTCAGGTTGATATTCACCTTGACCCGAACAACGCATATAGAGATCAAAAAACTCCCAAACTAAATGGTCAACTTTTAAAAAGCGTACATACAGACGAAACTCACCCTATTCAAAGAAAACCTGAAATACCAAACCATGGCAGTTTTGACCCGAAAGACACACGAGAGGGTTCCATAATTCCAGAATTACCCGAGCCCTACGAAAAAGTTCAACAAATATCATCACATGCAGAAAAACTGCAGCCTATTAAAAAAACACCTGACTTATCGATTGAAAGCGAAGAAGCTCATTACCCAAAACAGCCACATTTTGATCAAACAACACCAGACTTACCGGACTCTAATGAACACGTTCAACATTTAGACCCTAGAAACACAGACGATCCTCAGCCTAATCAAACAATACCTGAATTATTAGATGATCACGAACAAGAACAAGCTTGTTACCAAGATGATAACTATTCAGACCAAGAAACACCCGAATGCCAGAATAACGAACAAGAAACTTCTCGATGTTCAAATAACGACCGTGTACCACGTAAATCTTTATCCTGTGACCATGTTCTTCGAAATAATTCTTCATTGAACATAAATGACAATCAATCAAATCCATCGACTTCAACGAGCATCAATAGATGGACATGTGAAAATGACATAGAAAACAATTCTCAAAACTCGAATTCTGGAAAAAAGATGAGTAGAAAAAGAAAAAGAGATCCTGCAACATGGAATGACAGAGTAAATAAGACACTAAAGAATTCTGGGAAGAAATATATTGGATGCAGAAATAAAAAAGAGTTTCCTGAAAAAACAATGATTACTACTGGTTGTTCATGCAAAAAAAAATGTGGTAATTTAATATCATCAGAGGAAAGAGAAGAGATCTTTAAATCGTATTATAGACTAGGAGATCATGAACGACAATGGCAATTTATAGTGCAACACACTTCAGCAGAACCTATAAAACGTATGACATTGGACCGCAAGAATAATAGAATTCAAAGCGTAAAATACTATTTACCCATAAATAACACAAAATTACAAGTATGTCGTCTATTTTTCAAAAACACATTGAATGTAACACATCAAACTATATATACTGCTTTAGAAAAAGCTCAATCTGCAGATGGTTTTCATGACCAAAGAGGACGTCATAAAAATAGACCACGGCGCATGACTACGTATACTGAAGACAGTATAAAGAATCATATTGAACTATTCCCCACAATTGAATCACATTATGTCAGAGAAAAATCCCAAAAATTGTACCTTTCAACACACTTAAATATTTCAAAAATGTATCGTTTTTATAAAGATTGGTTCAAGAATCAAAATTACGATGAAGACATAGAGATGGGAACACTAAGACAATACCAAACTGTGTTTAATACTCAGTACAATTACTCCTTTTTTGTGCCCAAAAAAGATTTATGCGGTAAGTGTGAATTATATAAACAAGCTGATGACGACAAGAAACAATTGTTGCAAGAAGATTATGATAAACATATAAAAAACAAAGAAAGAGCTCGGAAACTGAAAGAGGAAGAAAAGAAGAACCTTGATCGTAATAAAAGTACAGTTGCAATTTTCGATTTGGAGAAGGTGTTGAGTATACCACAATCTCAAGTAGGAATATTCCACTACAAAAGGAAATATCCAATTTACAATTTTACTGTCTATAACTCAGTGCTCCGACAAGGATTCTGTTACGTGTGGCACTATCAACTAGCAAAAAGAGGAGCAATTGAAATTGGCAGTTGCTTGTGGCAGTTTTTGAACACTGAACATGAACGTGGCATTGAACATATTTCCTTTTATTCTGATGGTTGTGTAGGCCAAAATAAGAATAAATTCATATTTGCTCTTTATCTGTTTGCTGCCGCAAAGCTGAAATTAAATATCACGCATCGATTCTTTGAAACTGGACACGGGCAAAGTGAGGCTGACAGTATGCACTCTTGCGTAGAAAGAGAGATCAAAAATAAAACGATATACACCCCAGACCAAATGTATGCTTTAATTCAAAATGCAAAGGCTACCGGCAATAAATTTATAGTTAAAGAAATGGAACAGTCCAATTTCTATGACATTAAAGTTCTTGTTGCGGGAAAACATTGGGTGCGAGACGTACAAGGCAATAAAATTTTATGGTCTAAGGTGATGGAAGTAAAGGTGTTAAGCAATGAACCAAAGATTTTACGCTATAAGTATGATTTTGATAATGATTATTCCATTTTAAACACAGAAGTTTCTTCAAGAGTTATGGGACGAGTCGGCCGTGGTCGAAAAACTGCAGCAGCTTCGACTGCAATTGATGATGTTGAAGACTTAAAATGTGCTTACAGTAAACCGATTCCAGTTACTAAAGCTTTATACAACGATTTAAAGAGTTTGTGTTCATGTGAGGCTATACCTCGCCACTATCATTCATTCTATACGTCTTTGATATCGACAGATCAAGAAGTATTATCATCAGAAGAGGAGGACGAATAACCCTAGTTATAAAAGTACCATAGTTTGATTCCCATGATGAATCTCATGATGATTGATCCAATTATAATTAATAAATCATAGTTTGATAATTTTATTTTTAATTTTGGTTTTTGTTTTTAGTTTGACAATTTTTTTTATTTAGAAGTTTTTGTTTTATGTTCATTAAAAGATTATTATTAGACCTGGATATTTATTTAAAATTACCCTGAATAATATTCTTATCGACTATTAGCACATACTCTCTCTCAGGTTATTTTACCAGAATAACATGACAATAGTTTATTATTGTAAAACATTTTAGGTGTGATTTTACTAAAATAACATGACAATAGCGTATTATTTTAAAACATTTTAGGAGTGATTTTTGCTAATATTTATTTTTGCGATTATTTCGATTCTTGTCAGTGCTTTTCCACGAAACATAATTCACATCGTTGCGCAAAAAAATTAGCTTTCATTTGATATATCATTCTTCGGGATAGCATTTCAAACAAAGGAGTTATTAAACAAAATCGGTTTTTTATTTTTCCTGAACATTTTGGTTTTTGCAGTTATCATATTATTCTCCGGAGGTAGCGATATATCGTCAGCGATATGTACTTAATAATCACAAAACTGCGCATTAATCGGTTACTCACCACAGATTTCCCTCTCTCAGATTGCTGCAGACAGCAATTTAGTATTTCATCGTCTGGCAACTCGCACGGGTAAATGTGTGAGTTGGCGTCTCGTAATGATTGCCCTATCATTAAACAAAATCAAATGACAAAGGTGCATTATTACATACAACTCGTATTAATTACATGACACCTGGGGGTCAATTCTAATTGTCTTCCAACGAAAATTGAGAAAAATTCGAATCGGAAATATAATTTTGTGATAATCATATCTGTGAAGATTATCTGTACATCGAAGGCATTGTCAGATCCTACTTCCAATGCATCATAAATTATCAAAAAATGCGTTTCTAAAGAAACTTAAGAGTCATATTTATATGTGTATTTACAAAATTTATTTTGCCGAGAAATATAATAGGCCTTATTAATTCGTACGAGTAATAGATCTGGCAGTTAATAAAAGCCAAATTACATAATAGCGATTTTTGGCGATATTAAATAATATCATTATCAATACAGTTACGTTAAAACTTTAATGGATGATAGTTTTGACGTCGAATTTAAATTTAAAATCTAAATATAATAAACTTTTACCAAGATATATACCAGTAAACTGTAATTTTAAAATATTGTTGAAATTATCCAATAGCTTTCAAAGTTATTTGTAACCGTCAATTTGCTTAGACAATTCCGATTTACGACAAACGAATCTTATTATTCATTCAATATCTTTCGAAAAATGTCGCGGTCGCAACTCTTTCTCGTGTCAAATAATTGTAGCGTGAAGTTCGCGAATGTCTTTCAAATGTCACATTCAAAGTGATTTGTGAAAGATTTGATTTTTAGACTATTAGGCCACCCGGAATAATGGCTTCTAATGTTTTCCGAAGCACAGTGGAGCTTAAAATAATAAATTCGTGGTCACCAACTAGACAATTGGGTTGTATTTGCAATTGCGGACCATAGTGCTAACTTCTCGAGAGGTAGTATATTAAGGGAAATACCTTTGATGCGCGTGTTTTCTGGCAAGGATTTGTACAAGTAATCCATTGCAGCTTTTGCTCTCTTACATATAGCCCCATTACCATTGTTATTGTCTTTTAGCCTGTCGAGCTCGTTGATAACCCTCCAAGGAACCAACAGGTTTGGTTGTTCACTATATCCTGTAAATATATTTCAAGTTATTTTTGAATTGTTTCCCCCCCTTTTTTTAAATACAAACAACTGGTACGAACTTGTTTAGAATTGAGGAAAGATATACTTTTATACACTTGGCAAAAACAAAGTATCATAAGTATTGCAGGGACAAGGAGAGCCTTCAAACTGTCTTATATACCAAAATATTTTTTTTTATGAGATAGGTGGCAGACGAGCAGACGGATCACCAGATGGTAAGTGATTACCGTCGCCCATGGACACCTGCAACACCAGAGGGGCTACAAGCGCGCTGCCGGCCTTGGAGGGAAGGGTTGAGGGGTAGAGGGAAGGGAATAGGGAGAGGTTGGGCCTCCGGTACCCTCCCTCACACGACGAAACACAACGCAAGCGTTGCTTTACGTCGGTTTTCTGTGAGGCCGTGGTATCACTCCGGTCGAGCCGGCCCATTCATGCCGAAGCGTGGCTCTCCCACGGTATACTCACTCAATATTGGCCTATCATTTGATTATTTACTAACTGATGTTGATTTTTCGCGCTACTTCACACGCGTAAATAATAGCCTATGTCAACCCTGTATGATGTATTTACCCACAGGTAAAAGAATTTTTTAAATCGGCCCAGTAGTTTTGGATCTTATTCGATACATACAGACAAACATTACAAAACAAACAATTAAACCTTTCCTATTTATAAGTTTTTTATAGAAAAAGAGAAAAGACTTCTATGTTACTACTAGACAAGCTGTTCCAAATTAAAATTGAACACAACACAAGGGCATTGGCACAGAGTAAACGAGACGACTATACAGTCAACTAAAGGATGTATTGTGTTGACACAACACCTAAGTGAGTAATTTTCCAGTACCAAACAACTTGTCTAGTCATAGAAGCTTGTAACAAGTTCTTTCTACTTAATCATCCTCTGCATTATTACGTGGCCTCAGCAGGGGCACAGGCCTTCGTTGTGGATGTTTAAGGAGGATAGGCCATAATCCTATACGCAGACCCAATGTGGACTGTATTAATGACTGCAAATGTAGCTGGGATCAACGGAATCCGAAGCACGGAATAGCTCGAGATACATTTTTTTGATCACACATCCCATGATTAACCCTTGTCAAAGTTGCTTAACAACAACAATCATGAGCCACAGAGCTTATCCACAACACCACCAAGTTATTGCTACTTGTATTAAACAAATGATTATAATTTATTGACTTAAAATATATTAACATTAAATAGTATAAAAGTTACCGTTAAATCAATAATACTGACCTTTTATATGTGAATTCAATACATCTTTGATAACATCAAGCTCGTGTATGAAGATATTCGTATCAACTACTAAAACTAATTGTTGATTATAATCTATTGAAGCCACTGTCTCTTTTACACATTGTATTGAAGGTGACCTTTGAATTATCTGAAAAAAAAATAGCCACTTTGCATTGCCACTTTTTTTTAAAGGTATTGAATGAACAATTGACAACATTTATTTGATATTAATAAGGATTGTCCAAGCAAAGTGATAGTAACAAACATCTTTGAAAGCTATTAGGAAATGTCAAACGACATGAATTGTCCATGACATTTATATCAATCTTTCCAAATGCAATTATAACTTTAAAAATAACACAATTCCATAAATCACTATCACAACTGATATATATGTGAAAGGGGTTGTGATATATTTTATGATTAGGCAATTAGGCCACTGATCATACAAAACAATTACATTAGCAGAACATTAAGATAAAAATATCTTAAAACCAAATATTATTAATGGCTTCAGTAAAAACCATGGATGGCCATAAGAATCTTTTCTGAAATGCTACAGTAATTTACCTGTTTTTGAAAATCAACATCCATTGCCTCAATTTTGTCTTTTTTCATCATATTATTATCATCAGTATTACATAAAAAAGAATGTGATTCTGTAGAAGCTTCATCACTTAATCTTGTTCTTAATGCTTCCATACGATCTTTTGCTGATCTAAATGATTTGACAGGAGTATCATTTACAGATCCTTTATAAGAAAGCTTTGATTTTATAGCAGACATCAATTTACTAGCTTCTGAAAACTGTGGCGGTGTTGCTGGATGCTTCATGAATGGATATTCGGGTGTTTGTTTGTTTATACCTTCTTCTATATCAGCAAATGTGCTTTTTTGTCTCACTTTATCAGAGTACTCTTCTGGCAATTGAGCCTTCATAGAGGATATAATCTTATTAGCTGCAAGGAACTGTGAGGGTGATGGGATGGATTGTAAACTGTCACTACTGGGTGATTGAGTGGTTGTAGAACATTTAGATTCATTTAAGTTTGGACTTTTCAATTCTAATCTAGGGATTTTACTATAATAATCTATGTGTGTGGGACTTCTTTTTAGACTTTTAGAAGGTGATTTTTCCTGTGATGTATCATTTTTATTACAATCAGCCTCCAGCTGTGCTCGCAGCTGTGACAGTCTTGCATTAGCTGAATAAGTCTTTGAAGCACTGTGAGGACTCTCTTTTTTATGTGGATCTACATATTTTGAAGGAGTTTGTTTCTCAGGTGAGGGCACATTGGATTTTGCATGTGTGGGATTATCTGAAACTAACACAATCATTCATTAAGGAGCTTTTAGAGTTTCGATTTGAGACAAAATACTATTTAAAAAAGGCAATCCTGTTTATTTACTTTTCCATTACTATCTCAATTTTTCACTAAAGCAATGTTCACTCCGATTGTTGATTCAACCTCAGACTGTATTATATAGTTGAAGTGTGTAAAGTATTGTGGGTTTGTAGTGAACAAGAAAAATTATGTATGGAAATATTATGAACTGAGTGACACTATCACACTTAGTGTCTGACAGTGTTATCGGATTGAATGCAGCCTTAATATCACATATTTTGTACACATTATACATGTATATGGTAATTGACTATTTTTATTACAGTATACTTATAAATAGACCTGTAGTAACAAAGTGTGAAGTAAGTGATGCTTTGTATTAATTGTTTATTTCTAATTTATCCAAATTACCTTAAAAATTAACAAGTGTTTATGACTAATCATGACTACTTCCTGGATCTCTGTCTAGAGAACAAAAAATACTAGTATTAAATGGTTGTATATGACACAATGCTTACTTCCAGGTGATGAGCAATATTTATGTAGAAACCATGTTACTCTAATTGCTTTTTCTTTTATCCTAACACTTTAAATAGTTTAATTTTCAATAAAGTTTCTCTTTACCTGCCTGCCTTTATACATACCATTTTTCTGTTTCTTTTTCTGTGGGGAACTATGTCCTTGACCATCACTTTTCCTCTTAAGCTGTTTCTTACATAAATCCTCCTTCTTAGTTTTATCTACATGCCCACTCTTAGTTTTCTTAATTTTTGGCTTATTTTGACCCGATTTGTCATCAGCCTTGAAAATATTGTATAAATTATTGATTACAAAATAATGTTGTAGAAAACAAAACATTCACGTCAGACATTTTTAACCATCAACGTATCTCATCTTTGTTTTGATAATCAATAATTTTCCAATAAAACCCTTTATTTTTCTCACATTTCAAACTTTATTAATAATATAATTGCGACACTAACCTGAGGTTGAGTCCACGAAGATTTTCCCGTTTTCTTGTTGAAATAATACTTTCTACCTGGATTTGATTTAGACGAACACAGCACCCAACCATCTGGTAATTGTTTTTCTTCATTTTTGTTTGCATTCATGGTGAATTGTTAGAAAATCATACATTTTAATACAAAGATTTATTCTGTCAGCGCTTTCTGTCAAACCAGATAAGATTCTAGAGATGAGCGCATATACGAATAGCAAATAACATAGCAGCATCTTTTTAATAACGTGGTTATTCCTAGGAGTATTGTTTATTCCTTAGATTATGGGTTATTCAACCTTATTAGTCAACAGACACATGGTTGTGGGTAAAGAATAAATTATTTTTAAAGTAAAGATCTATTTTCAATCTGTTCGTTTTGCAACGATCTTGATCGTTCCGAGGGTAATACAATCTTAAGCACGTATCAAACCGTACTTAAACTATCTTAAACGTAACTTAAACAGGTTTTCCTTTCCGATTTTAATTTTTTAAATTATCATTTAATATCAGTTTGTTAAAATTACAACGTTTTTGCCTTTTTTTAAAAAACATTATTGAGAAAATCAGTTGAGATTTGGTACTTTTCTCAATTGAGAAGAAAATTTCGGAAACTCAATTATTACCTAAGGACTCGTTAGTAGAGTTATTCAAAACGAATATAAAGCATTAACACGCTGCAGACTAAATGCTCAAAATTCTAGCGTGCTAATTCACTCGCTATGTAAAAACCATTCAAGGGTTTTGGTATTTGTCGTTATATATAGTAGCAATTTTCTCTCTTGGCTGTTAGTATCATTTCTATTATTATAGACGAACTTCAGATTTATGTACATACAAAAGACCGTTGAGCTCTAATATAAGAGCATAGTCGGCTAATTTTGCCAGGCAATTATCGTTATCGGTTTCAACTAATATGAGACATCTGCGGTTGATTTAAATGCTTTACTCTATTATCTCCAATTTTCATACATCAGAGTACGTATGGGTATATAAACTGTAATTAACATAATATCTCTTTGATTCTCTCTCACTCCTTCCTCCATTCTTTTTCGCACTGGCTTTATGTCCAACTCTTAGATTATATAATATCGTCCAACACATTTACCCCTCAATAAATTCGACTGTGGAACAGTATTCCCGATTCTATCAGAAGATTAAAAAAGTCCACTACTGAGTAAGACAGTCATTATCATTTGTAATATGTATTAACATTCGCTGTAAATATGTAAATTTACTTATATTATTTGTATGTTATATTTTGCCATATGTTTATTATTAGTTTAGATTGTTACTATTGTATTATTGTTTATTATTATCCTCTTCAGATTACAAGTACACATATGTGTACCTTAATTTAATGGCAAAAACAGATCAGTAGCGTCATCTATTGCCATCGCCGAATATTAAAACATATTCCTAAAGCTATAGAGTTTCCCATAAAAACCATAGATGGCATTCTCAGAGACACTGGTCTATCAAAGTTTTAGTTTGAATTTTTCAGTTTGAAAATTTTCTCACCAGCCCGCGCTTCATTTGTTAAAAAATATATTAAAAATAAGATTTCGAAGTTTTTAACGAAATTCTAGTGTATTTTTACTGTCGAATATCTGGAGCAACGTGTGAGATGGTAAGTTTCATGTTTTTTTTATTTTTTGTACTAGTAATTTTTTAATATTTTTCTGTTACACATATGTGTACCTCGGTATCCTATAGTACAAATTTTATATAGTTATGTATGGATATTTCAGGAGATCAATGACGAAGAAATAGAAAGATTATTGAATGACAGTGATTTTGATTTCTCTGGAGACGACGATGATGACGAGTATTTGCCTCTAGAAGTACTTCAAAATTCTCAGCAGCTGCAGAAACTTGTAGAAGAGGAAGAGGAGCCGTCTGAACAACATACGGAAGAAGTGGTTCAAAGTTCATCACGATTGTTTTGGCGTACAAAGGAGATGTCATGTCGAGGTCCAGATATAGCGGATGACGAATTACTTTCCCAGGGCACCTCTGAAAAAAATGTTCTATACTCTTTTTTCGAATATCTGGGGCAAGATTTTTGGGAATTAGTAGCCGAACAAACAAATTTATACTCCGTACAAAAACGTGATCTTAGATCAGTTAATACGAATTCTATTGAATTGATCCGCTTCTCGGGTGTATTATTAATGATGGGGACACTAAAGTATCCTCAGAGCCATCTCTACTGGAATAGAGATTTGTGCGTGCCGGTTATTCGCGAAGCGATCACCCGGCAACGCTTCTATGAGCTTCGCAATTTTATTCACTTCGCGAATGCAGAACAACCCACTAGATCTGACAAACTGTGGAAAATACGACCTCTCTTAGAATCTATCCTAAACAAATGTCACACATTACCACGCTCAAAACACATGTCAATAGATGAGCAGATGATTCCCTTTTCCGGGCGATGCGAGTATCGCCAACACGTGCCGTCTAAACCTAACCCACTTGGCCTCAAAAATTTTGTGCTGGCTGCTCGAGATGGCCTGGTCCTGGACTTCGAAATTTATGTTGGTAAAGATACTATACCTCAAGAACTTATGCGAAATCTTGGATTGGGTGGGGGTATAGTACAAACTCTTTGCCGCACAATCAACAACAACTGTGTTCTGTACACTGATAGATTTTTCACGAGTCTGAAACTAGCTGAGCACTTGAATCAAAGAAATCTATCTGACGGGGACAGTTATGACAAATAGAATAGGATCAGTTACCAGCAAGTTGAAGACAGACAAGCAGTTAGCAAGAGGTGAATGGGATGAAAAAGTGAGAAGCGATGAAAATATATGTGTTCTAAAATGGAAGGACACAAAAGCAGTCACAATGCTCTCTACGTGTGTAGGGAGTGAGCCTACTGATAGCTGCAAGCGTTGGTGGAAGTTCCAGAGGCGAAAGATTGATGTCACTCAACCAGCTGTTGTGAAAAATTATAACAGCTGCATGGGTGGGATAGATTTGTCCGATAGATTGATAGCATACTATCGGAGCGCAATGCGTACAAAAAAATGGATAGTGCGAGCCTTCTGTCACTTTTTAGATTTGGTAGTTGTGAACTGCTGGATAATGTACACACGCTGCTGCAAGGAAGAAAATATTCAGACGAAAGATAAGCTGGGATTACTGCAGTACAGGATCAATTTAGGCAAGGCGATGATGAAATACGATGGTGGGCAATGTGATCCTCATTTCATTACCTCTGGCAGTACCTCAAGACCCAGACACAACTCTAGCTATACAGGTGAGCCCAGCCCCATCTCTACTGAAAGACAGACCTACGCTGGACCACCTGCAAAGAAAAACCGGCCGATCGTTTCACAACCGATAGCAGAAATTAGATTCGACAATGTAGGGCACCTGCCGCGTTATGTAGAAGCTAAATTCGCGTCTAAATGTAGACACCCAACATGTTCCTCACGCTGCCGCACCATGTGCGTAAAATGTAATATGTATTTGTGCGTTTTAAAAAACAATTGCTTTGAAAGCTATCATACTAACAAGAATTTTGGTCCTCATTGAAATCTTAAGTACACATATGTGTAAGTACATCTTTTTGAACTTTCGCTTAAATAAAAAATCTGAAAAAAATCATGTGTTTCATTTTAACTCAAATTAACCCAAAACACTCATAAAATATTTACTTACACGTTTGATTCAAGTCCAGATCTTAAGAGGTTATAGGTCAATAAAGTTCAATAATTAAAAAAATTATACGATAATTTCACGACGATGCTAACTTTTAAGAATTTCCTTTATTCTTTCCGTTTGTTCATAGCACGATCTAACTCGATAAAGCAAACTTTAAAAATATTATTGATAAACAGATATTATGGAATTTGTTCAAATCATAAGTATCGAGTACTTATATCGAATAGTAAGCACGCTACTATCTGATCTGTACCGTCAACAGCAAGTCAGATTATACAAATTTGTCAAATTTTACTTGATTTTAAGCCCTATTACATTCGCAATTAAATTTTAAATTACTTACGGGATTTTGACATATTATGCTGTGTATGATAATTTTGCCGATTTTTACTCGATGTACTATAATTTTCGCTCATGAATTGAATACATTATTGGACTCGTTTTTGGTAGTAGTGGTATAAAATAATAAATAACCTCTAAATAAAATATTTCTAAAATGTATGTAATGGTTATGAAATACTGAGATGTTGTATTAAAACTTCCGTTCTATTCTGGATAGTAAAAAGCTGCTATAATGGAGAAAGTTATAAAACTTAGTAAAACAATACGTAACAATTGGAAAAAATCAGTAGTTGGTGTAATTGCTCTGTCTTACGGAGTTATTAAAGCGAAAGAAAAATATGAGTAAGTTTTTGAAGGGTTATTTCTACTAATTGGGTCTTGGAAACAGTTTCACATTAATCAGTTGACTTTGCTCTTTATTTAATTGTTAGGTTAAATTGTTTTGTGTGTAATAACTCAAATACTGCTTTTTTATTCAGAATTAATATTTTGATGCATGCAGCTTGTAAAGAGGCTGCTAAATATGGAGACTCTCTCATACCCATGGATAGAAATCCTACTTTAGTCACTGTCATTCTAAACCCAGTAGCAAACAAAAGAAAGGCCAAGAAAGACTTTGAGAAGTACTGTGAGCCTCTTCTTCATTTAGCTGGTTTACAAGTTGATGTTGTTCAGACAGCTTCAGAAGGAAATGCTAAGGAAATAGCTGAAAATCTGCGTGGTACTGAAGCTATTATAGTTGCCGGTGGAGATGGAACCTTGTCGGAAACAGTAACAGGTAATTATTATATTTGATTAATTTACTATACTGGAAACTATTCTTAATTCTGGGCACCTGGATTCCAAAGGGTTGTGGGTTTGAGTCCCATTTCTGAGTACCTGTGCCTAGTGGAATTTTAAGCATTTTTCATTAAGAGTAGTAATGAGTAAGTTAAATTTAAAATACTTACAATTTAGTGAGTTCTTCAGATAAATATTTAATAAGTAATGAAGTGTAAAAAATATGATCTTTGCTTGTCTATATTTTTTATTGAAATTTTACTAAAATATGTCAGTAAAGTAGTTGTGTTATACTAACAGTACAAAATGGCAATAAAAAGAACATTGTATATAATTAACAAATTACAGGTCTTTTACGAAGAAATGATGGTGCAAATCAGTTTCCAGTTGGAATTCTGCCACTCGGTCGCACAAATACATTTGGAAACTCAATGTTTCCGGATGGAAAGGGAGTTGACAAAGTCAAGCAGCTCATTGAGGCTTGCATGGCTATCATTGAAGGCAATACTGTTTGGAAAGATGCAATGAAAATTGAACCTGTCCCTAAAGAAGATGAGGAGCCAAACAGACCAATTTATGCTTTATCTTGTTTAGAATGGGGAGTTTTTAGAGATGTATTATCTAAAAGAGATAAGTACTGGTTCTGTGGATCATTAAGAGAATATGCATCATTCCTATTCAATGGATATAAACAATCTCTGACATGGAACTGCAGTGGTATAATCAAATACTCACCACCATGTGCTGGTTGCAGTAACTGTGTACAAAGGAAACAAGAAGTAAAAAGGAAATGGTTGTTTTTCATGCCAAGGACAGAAACAGTACAAGAATATGATCAATCAAAAGTTTTGAACCCTGAATGTTCAACATCACAGGAGTTATGCATTAAAACATGTGAATTCAAAATAGAAACAAATAACATACGAAATCAGTTCTATCAACCATCATTAAATATTATGCTTGGCAAAAATGGATATTCATACACAGAGTTTGTGTCAGAAGGTTGGAATCGCTTAAAGAGGAAGTCAAACAAATTGGACGTAATTCCAGCAAGAACTGTCGAGCTGATTCCTAACGAAACTACAAATGAAGTCCTGATTGAGATAGACAATGAAGAATTTGAATTGAAACCCATAAAAGTTACATTATTACCGAGAACTGTTAAGTTTTTCTGCAAATCTGAATTAAATACTGATTAGTTTATGTATTACTTTTATTTAAAAATGGTTTTGGGAATTATAAAATATTCTGTCTAGTATATTCCCAGATAAAAATTGCTGCTGTGACATGTACGTTCAGTGATCTCACAAAACCTTGTTGAGGTATTTCTACACAGTAGTCCATGATGGGGAGCAAGTCGCATGGTATTCCTTCCTTTTCATGCCTGAAAAAAAATGGCATTTAGAATTTGGACCTAAAATCTATAGCAAACTAAAATATAGTGCTAATTTAAGTCCATGTCTATAGTCTTATTCTATGACATCACCCATATAGTTAAAAGATAGTTTAAAGCAACATTACCAATACAAATTTTCAAATTTAGAACATTCATTAGAGCTTAAAGTTGTCATTAACATTAATAGACATTAGTGTAACTGGGTATATAACAATTATGTATGTACGTAATTAAGATATAAAAATAAATGTTTGGCAATTTTCATACCCAAGCAACAATAAAGTCTTCATTGGGAATTGGAAGTTTTGCAGTTTAACGCTAGTGGACGTTTGTTCAGCTGCCACGACGCAATAACCTTCAGACTTCTTTGCGATTAAATATTGTTTTAAAGCCTGCCCTGGCCGTACCTCTTCCACATTAATCCATCGCTCAGCTGACACACTAGAAGATGTAATAAATGTTATTATGACTGAATGAATATCTAACTCATTTATTTTGTTGCATTATCACCATCCCTTTTACGTCCCCACTGTAGGGCCTCGAGCTTTCCTTATGGAAGGTTATGGAGGATGGGCCATGACCCTCCACACTGAACCAATGTGGGTTGCAGGTTATTAACGACCGCAAATGTAGCCAGGACCAAAGGCTTTATTTAGGTGCTTACCGAAGCACGTAGTAGTTCGAGAGAATATTTTTTCGGTCACCCATCCCGTGACCGTGAATATGGTTTGTTTTTTCAGTATTTCTTTTAAGTAGTAACTTTTGTTTGATGCATTGTTATATAATTGAAAGATAATACACAATGGACACAAAAGAGATCCTCATATAAAGGACAATTTATAATTATATAACGATAACAGGTAGGTAGGTTAAAACAGTTCGAAATTAAAACCAAATGCAGATATCAGGTGGGGTTCGTGTGGGGGCGTTTTCCGTCCTAGTCACTTCCGTGCAATGGGCTCTCATGTACAGTCAACAGAACGTGAAGCTATACAAAACTCAAAATCAATTGAGGAATTTTGACATATTGTGGTAGCCTGACGTGCGGCCGAGTGTACGCTTCGCTAGCATATATCATCGAAATTAGAAAAATGTATTTTTTTTTAAATAGTCTCAAACATATATTTGTATAAATTATATTTTTCTCATTTACCTTAAACTCTGGAATTGCTTGTCCTGCAAATGACGCAAACTGTCCACGACATATGTCTTCACGCCAAATACTTCGCTTGTCCTAGCCATCCCACCCAAGTTCGGGAGTTTATCTATTAGCGACGCCACTACGATCAGCTCACTTTTGTTTTCTTTCTAAAAAAAAAAGCATTAAGTATCTTACCTTTGGAATTACAGTTTCAAGAATTACAGTAGGCGTGGTTAAAAAACCCTGGTAGGTTTTTTAACCACGCCTAACTTACTAACTAGTCCGAGTTCGATAATGATTTTTTTATTGGAAAACCAAAACACCAACTTGAATACAACTATTGAATTGCCGTTAACAAAATATAAGTACAGTCAAGAGCAAGTCAGGTTATACCAAACTGTCAAATTTCTCCACTCGATTTTAAATCTTAATACATTCGAGGATAGAATTCAAAATCAATTTGGAAATTTTACATTTTGTGATAACCCGACGCGCAGCCTTGTGTATCACGTAAGTAGAAGCACCTTAATATCGAGCACAGCTTCGGTATATGGGTTTTCTTGTGAATCCGTTATATATTCAGAATCTGATTCAGTTTCTCGTTTAATCAGTATGCTATGCTTTAGCAAAGTAGTAACTTCGGTATGCGGAGCTGATGTCAGGCATTCGTCAGTTTCACCTTTCGACGTCGACGGGCGCAGTTGAGATGATGTCCAAGGATCAACAGCACAGCTGACCACTTCCATCTTAATATCGTGATGCAGAGGATCTTCTATGAATACTTCTCTCGTAGTACAAGGCTCAATATCTGAAGGTTTTCTATTAGGATCTATTAAGATCGACAGCGCAGCGGATGTTCTGCGGAAACAGTGTCCCGTATACAGCTCAGGATTTGGTAGTTTCAAATAAGTCGCTATTTCCCTTGGCATCGTACCAATTTTATTCTTGCCTATCACCTGCCTGGTGCACTTCCCGTTAAGATAGTGCAAGAAAAACCTATTTGTTTTGACATCGGAGGGGCGTAAGGCCATATATTTCTCGACGTACTTTACTCGTTCATTGCGCACTACAAAAGATCTTTTTGTTTTTGTACTATTTAATGTTACTAGTAGTAGTTGATCAGAGTGCTTTTGTATATCTTCAATTGATATATTCAGTAATTCCTTACCTCGACATGCGCCATCTACACCGAAAATCATAGCAACCTGTAACAATATTGGTGAGTGTACTTAAGTTTCGTAACAAAGGTGACGTGACATCAACACAAACTAAAATGCTCACTTTTAAGGCGAGATAACTATAATCAGGTGCTTCATTTAGAAATCGGTCGATATTGTCAAAAGTCAGCGTTTTAGACTTCTTCGATTGGTGGCCTTTAGATATGCTCTTAAGAAATATTAACAAGTTTTTGCAGGTATTCATATGAATATCATGTTTTAAACTAAGCGTTGCCTTCAGCATTGAATATATACTCCATAGGGTAGTAGGTTTTCTCGATTGCGACATCTCTCGAAAATAATCCATAAATATATTCTCAGAAAAAGGTTCCATACTGCAGTTAGATTCTTTCCACTTCATGAATTCTTCGTACGCCCTAAAATAAAGTTCCTTTGATCGTTCAGACAATCTGTCCACACCATGTCTGGATTCACTTTCTTCGTTATCTACACTTTCATCGCTGGACATTTTTTATTGAAAAATTTATTCATATGTTTATTCAGAATTCACTAGTCACCTATTGAAAACAATAATATCATATACGAATTTATTATTTTAAAAGAGAAAATTCATTTAACCATTTCACTCAAAAATGGAAAGAGGTATATTGCACTTGGTTAGTTACATAATTTAATGACGAAACGACACGTGTCAAATACAGGTTGTTATTAGCTATGAATCAGATTAAGCGTCTGCACTGCACTGCCGGCCGAATGACCAGACTAATCGAAAAATGAAAGGGGGCCGCATTCCAGACGGTCCCGCCGGAAGCTTAATTTACCTCTCTAGGGAATGAAAAAATATTTTGTTCCCTGTGCGCAAGTCAATAACGACTCTTTTCCAAGTCGCCCGTTATTGACCTGCGCAGGGGGAGCAAAAAACCGGCATGCGTATGGCAGCTGGCTGGCCGTCTAGCTACAATAGAAAACGTACGAATAGTGAGCGCTGTTTTTTTCCACTGTTATACAGTTGGCGCGACGACTTAAATTGGACGGGTTATCTCTTGAAATAGTAGCATATAGATTTTTCTAATACTAGATATGTACCTATTTTTAATCGAGTATTATCTCTTAACTGTGACATTGAGTATGTATTACTTGTACGATTTAAAATGACACCTGAGGCGACCTTTTCAGAGAAATAGAATAGGCCGTCAGGTGTCACGTTAATTCGTACGAGTAGTACATAACAGTAAGTTAAGTTTCAGTTTAATTACTTTTATTCATCTGTTTATTCCTACATTAGTCATTCAAAATAAAACTCTAGCCACAAGACCACGCACTTTTTAATTATCTCTGATAGATAGCCGTGACAAAATGAGAGGCAGCTTTTTTATCCTATTCGGAACAAGCTAAGGTTATAGACCATACTGCCACATAAATAATCTTTTCTAATGTAATTCTAAATTGTAGTTTTCAAGTGTAGTAATTTTTAAGATATATTAATAAAATACAGTAATTGAATGGTGGATCGTCAGAATTAAAATAAAATAGCCTAATAAAAGAGTGGACTTACTAAAAAATGCAGTCAGTGAGAATATCCTTCTTTTTTGAAGTCAGTTAAAAATCAAAAAATTATAACTACAAAGTAAAATAACAAATACAAGAAAATCATTTGAAGTCGAAGAATGACCGGCAAATCCTCTCCCAAATCCAAATGAAGTTTCTTAAATCTGTTAACCGCTTTTGTACTTTTAAGCCAGTTGTAGTATTTTTTGCTTTGACCGGTTTTTTTACTTTAATGGCTATTATGAGTGAATCATAATTTCATAACAATTCTAATTAAAGCAAGAATATTTTCTCCTATAATGAATGTCTTCTAAAAAGTTACTCGATTGCGACTAAAATATGATTCACGAATATAGTATTATATTTGATGGACCAAGTAATCAATCAGGAAGTATATAAAAAAAATTTGTTCCCGAAATCAAACTAGATGTCGCTACGGTAATTCCTTAATTTCTCCATGACAACCTTTCCGGTTTTCTTTCATGCATAAAAGTAAATTAATTTTCAAAACTCAAAATACAACTCATATTCTGTGTACTTTTTTAAGGTTGTCATGGAGAAATCAAGAAAGTACCGTAGCGACATCTAGTTTCATTTCGGGACCTAATGTTTCTTTTCAAATACTTCCTCATTAATAAGTTTCAAAGTCATTGAAGAAAATTAGTTTAAAAAATTCGTAATATCTGCATTGCATCGGGGATTCAACGGTAGCTTTGCAACAGACGTCTTCATGTACTACGATGTGTAGTTCTTCAGTCACCCGGTGAGATATCTGACACTCCCGCCTTTTGATAGTTTACAATCTAGTATGTCGGTTAGTAAAAACTCGGATCATGGCCAAGAAACTGCAGTATTCTGTGTAAGCACGTTGTAGGCATAGCGGTCTAGCTCGAGCCCATTTACACAGTGCGTCGAACTGCCATTACAACCGTAATGGCAGTTCGACGCACTGTCCAAAAGATGCAAAGCTCTTCCAGTTCCAAATCTTGGAAACGTCGATTCTTCTCCTATCGGACTAGAGTCCAGCTCACTCAAAAAAAAAATGTGCGGATGATATAATCTAAAGCGCCGGGTTACATGTACTAATTAGTTCCGAAAATTATTTTTTGTTAAAACAAATCAACTACCTTCTTTTTAATTTAAATATAATATACTATATGTAGATAAAATTGTAAACAACTCCATAGCTTGAACAAAAATCGCCGATTTGAGGATATTGGTGTGATGGGTCACAAAAAAATTACAATTCAGTGCTCAACATACCAGTAACGGGACATTTTAAAACAATTATTATTGATTAATATGAAGTTGAATTTCTTCTTCATATGAATATAGTAAAGAATTAAAAACTTTATCATAATTACCTTTCTTTCTGCTTCATACACATAAACATCACTCATATTTTTCCAGGGAACATATTTCTTTTGGATGGTTCCGGATGCTTCAATACCTTCATAGAGTTTACCTCCTTCTTCATTGCAAATGTTTAGAGAAAATATTTCATCATCGGTTCGGTGAAAATCGACCCATTCTTTATGAAAATCAGTGCTTAGCATATTATCAGATATATTTGAATTTACTGCATTGAAAGTACTTCTAACATAATCTATGTCGATAAACTCGTTGTTAATTTCGCAATATTTCGGCAGGAAATAGTAAATAAAACTCGGTGTTAAATCCTGAATGATATCAAAATTGTTAATAAAATAATCATCCTTTATCTTTACATAATTTTTGTCATTTTCGCCTTCTTTAAATGTTCTTTCTATTAAAGTCATGATGAACGGGTATTTTGGTATAATAATATGCGATACTTCATTAAGTTTAGTAGCTAAATATTGTGCATGCAGTCTTGTATTGAACATCGGGCCCATTGTATGACATAATAGAAAATCCATAACAAACTCGAATTGTCCTGATGCGTCGTCTTTTTCACTCAAAATTATGCGTTTCGCTGTCCAATACAGTACGAAAAGCTGTGATATGAGGGGGATGTCATTAAAACTTTCTAATAACTCTTCATTTAAACTGATTTTCTGCAAAATATAAACACATTAACATAAATAAGTATAGGTTCAATATTTTTCGCTACATTAATTTAATTAGTTAATGATCGATGGTCCTTCGAGCCGGATGTTATAAAAATATGTATTTTAATATTTAATAACATATAGTTGCACATGATGTTACGACAAAAGGCAAAAATCTGTACTAAATTTGAATAAAAAAATCAATATTAAACTAAAATCAACTTTATAATTTTGTTGAAACCTTACATGCTGATTGTGTAATATATTTACGAACCATTTTAACCAAATGCAATGCAATATACCATTCCAGACATATTCTAACACTGATTTGATGAGGTAATTTTTTTAGGAGCTCTATACACCAGTTCATATCTTCTGTTGGGTCCGTTCTTGTTCCACTGTTGTTGACTTTCATTAATGATATGAGAAGCAGATGTTGCAACCCTGTCAGCAGCAGTCTGTGTCCCTGAGAGTGACCATGATACCTTTGCTTGTTTTTGAATGATTCATCTATTTTGTTTTTAATGAATTTTTCAATTGTGCAAAGAATTTCAGTGTCTTTAATCTTGGATAATATGAGTACAGAGCAATAATTAACTTCAAAGTTGAAATGAGTACCTAGGCTGAAACTTTTTTCAATAATTAAAATAAATAATCTAAAAGTTTATACTTGCTTACAAAAAAAAATATATAATTTGAGATATCCCCAAGTAACTTAAAAAACAGAACTGTTTAAATATTTTACAGGAAAGCTAGATAAACTTATTTGTATCACATAATACATTTGATGAATAAATTTCTAAAGAAAAAGTTTCATAACTTACTAAGTTTGGTCAAAACCATATTTGGCCTCTTTCAATATTTTCACCAGAAGATTTTCAATAATCCTGAAATATAGAGAATTCTATGTTTGTCTATTCTAAAACATATTTAAATAGTATTTAATATGTCAGCTTACCTTTGGTCTTTTCGTGGTACTGGTGAGAACATTAAAATATCACAGAGAATATAAATAACATGGCCATGATCTACTGTAAGAACTGTACTGTTAAGTTTACTTATTAAATAAAACAGAGGTGTTACTTTCACAGGACCATAATCTACAATTTTTTTACAATAGAGCAGAACTATATTGTTGAAGGTTGGTAACCTTAACAGGTGCTCATGTGTGATCAAATTGATAAATTCTCTGATGCATGGTGTATATTGGTTGTTTGATTTCAATTCCTCTATTTCCTTCCACATTCTACATATGAATTGCTCCATGTTGAATTTTGTATCTGTTCTCATAAGCACAAATGGTAACATCTTATTAATTATTTTCAAACATAATTGTAGACATCCATAACCACCACAATCTAGAACAACTTGAATATACTCCAATATAGAGTCTGTATGTGTATCTGTACAGCAATACTTTTGATTGAGCATTTCAAATACTATTTCACAAGATTTTTCATAAAACATATTTCTAAGCCTCCCTATACTTTGCTTACTTTCAAAATTTGCAGCAATTTTTAACACATCTTGTACATTTAACCTCTCTTGTTCAGGAATTGAGAGCAATACTGAATTATTTGTTAAACCATGTATTATGTGCAAACTTAAAATAACACTTTCCAAAGCTACATTTTTATCCTTTGTAAACAGTACTGACATCTTATATAGTTGTAACATTGCTTCTTTGATTTGTTCAATGTTTCTTGCATTAAATATTGAATGTAAACCATCACTAATAAGAGCTATTTCTTCTATGGTCAATATAGTATTGTTAACAAGTAAACTTGAAATATATAATAAAATAGTTTTAAAATTTGAAGAAATTATTGTATTTATTGTCTCTCTTATATTTATTACATTGTCATGATTTTTATTATCAGTTTTGCAAATCAGTTGGTTTAGATAAATTACATCATCAAGGCATTCTCTTTTATCTGAATAGTGCCGATTCGTAATATTATCAATTTTCTTAATCTTTTCATGTAAGATGTCAATATATATTGGTAATTCTTCTTTGTGCTGTTGAAGGTAAAACAGACCAAAATCTATATTCAAATATGATTGTTGTATAAAGTCAAAAAAGATTCCATCTTCATTTATCATCTTTTTTATTAAATTTAGAAATGGATTTTTATCAATAGAAGTATTGGATAAATCCATTTGTAAACACAAATAAATATTGGCATATTCTCTCCAGTGGAGTCCTGAACAGCAGTTTCCAACAAAATAAGCAATATTTATATGTATAGCTTTTCTTAGAGGTACATTGTTGCATGGAATTTTTAATATATCCAATATTATTGGTACAATATGCTCTCCTGCCAATGTGATTTTATTTTTAAGGTCCTCATCGCTCAGAATACAACTCAAATGGTAAAGTGGTACAGGTGACCATTGGAGCATCGGTATTGATGCAATTATGTACAATAGTATGTCTTTGTCCTTTACAAACATACTAAATTTCTTTTTCAAAGCCTCAACCTCATGAGTGTTATCATAAATATTAATATAATTAAGAGCTTCCAGTAACACAATAGCTTCAGTCTTACTGTTCAGTTTTATTTCCAGTCTATGATTTATACATTTCAATCTAACTTGAATATTGTCATGTTTCAGCCCTATATTGAATGCACAATTCAACCAGTGGCCCATGGCCTTTAAGGATGGAAATAAATTTAATGATGGCAAAACAATGTTACTTTGCTTCTCCTCCAAGCTATCAATAAGAATAAAATAATTATCCCACATTGTTTTTAGAGAATTGCTTTCAGCATGTATCCATTGAAATATAATGTTACCATTGTGTTCAACCAGAACATCTTTCTTCATTGCTAACACACAATCTAATGCCCTTTTAGCTAGATAAATAGATAATTTTCTTAACAACAAGTCTGTTGACAATAATCCATATAGGATAGTTTGCCAAAATTCTGCCTGTAGCACTATCTTTGATTCAAACAAAACAACTCCACTATTATCTGGTGTAGGCAAATAGTAATCTGAAAGTGAACTCAATACTTTCAATGCAATTGATCTGTTATCATCATGTAAATGCTTGACAAAATCCCATATTGAATCCAGTATGTTAAAACCAGTCACGGCTGCAAACATTTTAGGTACTGTACTGCTGAGAAATTGTATTTTCATATTTTCATTTGAACTACATAAAATGTTTTTCACAGGTATTTCTAAAAGTGGCAAAAACAATTTTGTACTACAATTTGACACAGCGTGAAGTATACTATCGGTTACTTTAAGTATCAATATTGCTCTAGTATCATCAGGCTCATCTTTTGGAGGCAATTCAGATAGAATTTGTTGAATAAAATGTTCACATTTGTTTACTAGTGTGCTGCTATTTAAACCGAGAGCTATAGTAATTATTTTACAAACATTTTCAATGTTGCTTACGTTTACTTCTCTAACGAGTTTTGTACAAAATTCGTATTCTTCTTCATTGTCGCATTCACTGTTTTCCTGCAGATTTACCAATTGTTTGTACTGTAGGAGATGTATTGCACTTACTAAATGTTTATCAGAAATTTCCCTTCGAGACATAATGGATTTAAGACGCGAATCAATTAACTCTTCGTCCAAATCAAGTAAATCTAAAAACGATAGCACATTTTCATCAGAAATCATTATTATGATTTAAAGGAAGTTTGAGATATATAATATGTTATAGTCTCGAATGTATTTTATCTAATAATAATGTTGATGAAATTGAATGTATACAATAGGATTTACTCAGAAAATCATTGAGACATAAATATATGCTAATGGAGAAAATAATATAACTGGAAAAATGGGCAAAACAAAAACACGAGGAGCCGTCTCCGTCTGTCAGTGTCATGCATTAGGGATGCTCGATATTCATCGATGTTGAATAAACATCGATGTTTAGCTAGAAAACATCGATTTTTTCGTGCCAAACATCGATGTTTATGAATAAAATGTCAATATACCCTTTGGGCCATCTAACGTGCTGCTGATGTACTAGCTAGATGATCTCGTATATCAAGTTCAACTATTTTATACTAGATGTCACCAGTTGCACTCGTCACTGGAGTACGCAAACAAATAGTTTTTTCTTAGTTTGCATTTTCCTAGGAAATTAGAAATAAATCTGTCAACTTCAGCGCTCGTTGGTATCTTATAAGTTACTTTATTCACCGATCTTAGTTTCAAAGATCCGTACATTAGATAGTTCCACGTGCGAGTGCGTAATCGAAATAGGTACCAGTGATCCCATTCTCTTCAACTGTCTGAAACAACCTTCTTCATATGAGCAACTTCCATTTAAAACCCCCCGTCCCATTAACCTGAATACTATCTTGTCTATTCCTAACATACCTATCTCTTTGCGTCTTGTAAGCATATTAAAAAATATAACAATACACTATAATCTACATGGCACTATCATATATTTATTGCTATTACGATATTTTTGACGTAGATACGTCTATGTTTTCGTTCTACAGGGGGGTCATTCTGTGAGCAGGAGTATATGCACTAACGCCATCTATTGGCGTATAAGTGAACTATGCTTGCTCTGCAGGGGGATGGGCGTTCTGTCAGCAGGAGTATATGCACTAACGCCATCTATTGGCGCTAGTGAATACTTTTTCATTCAACAAATGAACGCAACGAATATTTATTTATTTAGTGTTTAGTGTCTTCAATTTGTTTATTTATTTATTTTTTGACGTGGATACGTCTATGTTTTCGTTCTACAGGGGGGCCATTCTGTGAGCAGGAGTATATGCACTAACGCCATCTATTGGCGAATAAGTGAACTATGCTTGCTCTGCAGGGGAGGGGCATTCTGTCAGCAGGAGTATATGCACTAACGCCATCTGTTGGCGCTAGTGAATACTTTTTTCATTCAACAAATGAACGCAATGAATATTTATTTACTTAGTGTTTAGTGTCTTCAATTTGTTTATTTATTTATTTTTTTAATTATTCATTTATAAATGCAATTATGCCACAACGTTGCATAATTCCGGGTTGTTTTGGAGAAGCGAATCGTTCAGTTTTTAGAGTGCCAAAGAACATTGAAGACGTGAAGAGTGGTTAAAAGCTATTCGTGATGTGTATTCCTAACCTGGATGTTGGTGAAAATTTTTTTTATTTTTATCAATTACTCATATATCCATTCATACATAGACGTATCCACGCATAAAATATGGCTGTATCAATGATACAGCCAACCAGGGTTTTTATTTATTAGTACAATATGTGACGTTTGCTTTGTGTTATACTTTGGAACAAGGGAGGAAGAAAACTATTAAAAACCGTTACAGAACAATTTCTCACTATCCCGCAAAATTTCTGTGTAAAAGAGAAAAAGGTCATTTATGTATATTAAAAAGAAGTTACTTTATGCTCGTTGGGCTCATTCTCTCTCCGTAAAACTTCCGCGTGATTTTTTATGACACTTGTCTTATTCCATTACTTTTATGGAAAGGGGTAGAATCCACCTATCCCACATTAAAAAAAATTGCATTAAAATATTTATGATGCAGCACAGCGACTTCCACGGCTTCAGAGAGACTTTTTTCTAAAGCTAGTCAATTCCTTTAACAGCAACGCAATCGAATAAAGGAGAAATGGTTAACCAAGCTATTTTTTTTTTGCAAAGTGTACAGAAAAAATATTGGGATTAACGGTTTCATTTATTCGACTTTTTAATTTGTAACAATAAATACTTGTTTGTAAAAAATACATCCAGTTTTATTTTTTTCTATGGAAAACATAGATGTTGGGGAACATCGATTGTTTTCAATTGAAATTAATCGTACATTGATGCCTTTGAATCAATGTCAATATCGATGTTTTTCATATATCGACTGTGGATTGAAGATCAACGGCCGTAATATTAATACCCTTCGTTACGCGGACGACACAGTCTTAATAGCGTCCACATCAGCTGATCTTCAAATAATGGTTGAGAGATTAGAGGAATGCAGTCAGGGAGCCGGTCTTTCGATGAACTTAAAGAAGACGAAATTTATGGTCATCTCCGGAAAAGCAGACTGCAATGCCAGCATAAGGGTATCCGGCCAAAACCTAGAAAGGGTCAAGAAATATAAATATTTGGGCACATGGCTGAATGAGGATTGGAGCAGCGAGTTAGAGATAAAAAACTCGGATCGAAATAGCGCGTAATGCCTTCAATTCGATGAAGAAAGTCCTCTGTAATCGTAATATTAACATCTCTTTCCGAACTCGTTTGCTCCATTGTTATATCTGGCCCCTGGTTTTATGGGCATGGACCCTTAAAGAAGATCTACGAAAACGCATAGAAGCTTTCGAGATGTGGACTTATAGACGCATGCTCTCTATAAGCTGGACCGAGAAGGTGACCAATGTCCGAGTTCTCCAACAAGTTGGCCAAAAACGCACGCTTATGGCAACTGTTAAACGGCGTAAAGTCTCGTATTAAGACCATGTTCTTAGACATCAGAGATATGATCTCCTGCAGCTGCTCATGATGGGCAAAGTTGCGGGAAAGAGAAAGGTCGGAGGAAGGAAGAAGTCGTGGTTGCGGAATATCCGAGAGTGGACCGGGATAGCGAGCGCTGCTGAGCTGTTCCGCCGAGCTAAAGACAAGAAGGACCTGAACATGCTAATCGCTAACCTTCACTAGTTGGAGCACCTTTAGAAGAAGAAGATATATCGATCAGCCCCCTGATTGTCTAATTTTAAATCTATTGCAATCGCTTTCAGTTTGAAAGGTGTTGCACAACCATTGCTGCATAATACAAGTACTTTTTTTTCAACTGTCTTCAGAAACAAGCAATGGTTATACAACATCTTTCAAACCGAAAGATTTTAAAGTTAGACAATTAGGCCCCAGTATACAGATATATCACGTATGCATATTAGACATTTTTGACAATGACATTTATTTTATAGAATATAAAAAAAAGGGATCTATTAGATACAACCTAATAATATTTTTCCTGTTTTCACTAAAATTAACATTGTGATTAATAGAGAGTTTTTTTTATCGATGCTTCTTTTTCAATAATGTTTAGAAGTAAATAATGATTTTGTTACTCATTTGAAATATTATCAAAAAAAAAGGAATTGGTAGGAAAAGTAATCTGCTTAGATTACTTTTATGATAATGAAGCTTACGCTGTATATTATAGCTTTAATAATTTTTAACCAACTTCAAAATCAGAAGGTAATATCTTCGACGGCGATATATATTTTTTATATCATTCATATATTATTGACATACATTATAATTAAGAATCAAACGAACTTATGAAATTTGATATCTAATTATACGAATATATTTACCGAAGATGATTAGGGTTTACATGCAGCAGTACAGCAGTACACGAGATGCTGCCGGCCTCAACATAGTTCAAAAGTTGTTTTTAATAAATCTTAAGTAAAAAAAAAATTTATTGATTACCCACTTTTCACGCTCCCGCGCAGGCCCCCGCCTTTTACCTGTTATTATTTAGAACAAATGAAAAATAATCATCTTCGGTCAAGATATTCGTATAATTAGATATCAAACTTCACAAGGTAAGTTCGTTTTATTCTTAATTATACTCTATATCTCTCCCGAAGATGATTAGGGTTTACATTCAGATGTTCAGCAGGGCTATTGGTTAACTTTGACATTAAACTGTACAACTGACAATTCGTTGTACACTGTTTTATCGATTTTTTTCCCCAAAATAAAGAAGCGATCTGAATCTCTGCAAAGTTTTATATCTGAATTTCTAAATCAATATCTGATATAATAATGTTTATTACACGAATTATCATAAAAATTACTAAAATAAAGTCCCACTGAGATATAAATAGTAGCTTATTTTACTCTAGGCATATAGTTTCTTTTATTGTTTGTGTTGTTATAAAACAAAACATTAAATAAAAAAATATACTGAACACATACATACTTATGGTGGTCTAATTTAAATGTTTATATTTTAGTTTAAAAACTCTCTGAAGAACGAGGGAGTATTTAAAAAAACCTTAGTTCCTAAAATCAAACTAGACGTCGCTACGGTACGTTTTTGATTTCTCCATGAAAACTCTTCCGGTTTTCTTTATGTTCAAAAGTAAATCAGTTTTCAAAACTCAATAAACAACGTATATTCTATTCATACTTTTCGTATTTGTATTGATATCTAAGTTTCGAACTTTTCAAATTTCAGTTTTTTAGTTAAAAGAAACGGAAATGGCTGTCTATAGTCCATTCGTTTCCTGCAAAAATCAACTTTTGCTAGGGTCGCCATCTATTGGAGGTGCTTTTTTAGTGCTTTCATTTTTTTTAAATACTTCCTCATTGAGATACTACAGATGTATAATGATAGTTATATGTGAATAATTTATACCAACTTAGTGTGTATGATTATAAAAAATATTACTGGAACATACACCTAACACCTAGGTTTCAAAACTGTCTACCAACAAATACTTTATTTCGTACCTTCCGTCTGTATCGTCTTATATGTCTGTGGTTGTTATTACTGTTCGGTATCAGTTAGTTATATAATTTGTAAAACACAATCAGTTATAAGTTATAACTTTATAACTTATAACGTTTATAGCGTTTCGTTAAGACGACCAACTTTATTTGTTCTGTGCTAAAGTCTCTCTGTCAAAAAAGTGTCAGGAAAGTCAAATCCAAAATTTTTTTGGGAAATAATCATTGTTCGTTGTAATGAATCACAATTCTTTAGAATTTTGATTTAGTTTATTTAGGTACGTATCTGGTATTAAATCATTTGAGTTAGTGGTGTTAATAATTAATAAATATTTTTGTTGTAGAGTAGATTTTTTTGCAATGGAAGATAATACTTCGAGTTACGATGAAGTTAAAGATTCGCCACTAAGTCCAAAATTAGGTGGAAAAAAGTTTAAATTAAATGACGGAAGCTCCCAAGATAGTTTCAAGGAAACAGGTAAATAAACATTTTCATCGCCAATTAGTAATTGTTGCCACAACAGCGAAAAAAAAGTGACGTAAAATACGTATGATTAAGTTGATAGGTTTTTATTCAGATGCTTCTTCGAGTAAAGATAAAAAGGATGAAAATGTGGATAGCGGCATATCTGCAGACAAATCGGAGAGCACGAGCAGTGAAGATCGAGGTAATGGGGTTGGTGAGGGTCCGTCAAACGAAGTTGTGAATGCAGCACCTTCTAGCAGTAACGTACGCGACATTTTGTTGAACATTAGAAGACCCAGACGCTGCCGAAATTATAGAAAACGAAAGACGCCAGATAGGGATTCAGATAGCAATGACTCCTCAAGAGACTCAGATGATTTGTCACCAGAAGAATTCACTGTAAATTTGCAACCAGATACTAGTAATTCAGATGGCGAAAGCTCAGATGACCATGGCTATGTTCCTAATTTTTCAAATCCTTCACCTGAAAGTGGGTGAGTTTAAATAACTTTGCTATAATTATTATATAAATCAATGGGATAGATAATATTATTTCTTAACTATTTAATAATAGGTCTAAAAATTTACATAATATTTTATTATGTTATGTAATTCTTATATGAAAGAAAATGGACTTAAATATTAGAATCTTTCTAAATGACAAGCTACTTTCTAAAATGGAGATCACAACACCCAGATGTAAGACTTAAAAAAGTTAATTTTCTATGTTAATGAGGATTTGAACCTACCAACTCAGATACCTTGTAACTGGCTTACGAGACACTCAACCATGGAGGTCATCAAACTTTTCTATTATTCATTATTGTCTATCACTTACAACTTTATGCGCTTTATCCTTAATTACTCAATTATATTTTCAAGAGGATGCTTTAGTACATTTTTGTTCATGAAACATCCAGTAGCTTAGGATATGAGCTGAGATGTTAGTTAGTAACTCCTTTTATAATTAAGATCATAATAATGATCCTCTTCACAGGTCCAGTTCATCTTCAGATAGTAATGACAGTTATGATGATGATATGGCCCAAATACAGAGTGTTGAGAGTGATAGTGAAGGAGAAGAACTGTGGTCTAGGACCAGAGAAAATGAAGATACTGAAGAATTCAGAGGAGAACCACCCAGAGCTCTGCTCAAAGTCAGACCTAAGCATAATTATTTTATGTTAAGAGGTAAGTATTTATCTGATTGCTTTATTCTGTTTCAAATGGTTTTTATAACTTACATAAGAGCTATTCAATGTAACTGTAGGTATTTTTAATGTATGTTACCCCATAATTTGTCAATTATTATTTTGATTAGTGATCAATCATTAAAGTACACTAAAAAAATTAGTAAGTTCATACTTTATTGTCACAAACAATTATAAAATAAAAGCTTTGTTTTAAAATAAGTACAAAAAGTAAACCCCACTAAAGCTAAATCACTCTAAAGAGTTTGGAACAAGAAATTATTTAATGGTGATAGCTATATTATAATAGTGATGACCAAAGGACAGCATAATCGTATGCCACTGATAAACAAACTGTCATGGCATAAAATACATAAATAGTCAAATACCAGAAAAAATTCACCTATATTTTTGTGAAAAAAATATTTTTGTTATGTTAAATTACAATTATTACTTTGCATATCTCAAAAATTTGTAATAGAGTTTAAATTTTTAAATTTTTAAGACTATAAATAGCAATTGAAAAAGAATTAAATAAAAAAATAAAGGAAACCAAAAAAGTTTTGTGAAATATGTCCTTTCTAAATTTTCTATTCTATTCATTATCAAACTTGTTTACTTTTTGTTAGATTTTCAACATTCAGACGCAACACAGGCATTAATGATCTGTTGCTGAATTGTTTCAGAAATAATAAACCGTGAGATGGGATTGTCATTGCCCTGCAGTAAAATTTCAAAAACCAATGCTATGTTTGAGCAGAAATTTTATGGGTCACTCCATGTAGTTTATAGAATGGACAAACTATATCAGTTAAACCAACATAAAGGCTGTGTAAATTCAATAAATTTTCACCCTGAAGGTAAGTTTTAATAATTTGTAATAATTTGTGTTTGTACAATCAACAGTACGTCAGACTATACAAATCTGGAAAATGACTTCTCTTAATTTTTGCACCTTAATACTTTAGGGGTAGCATTTAAAATTAATTATAATGGTAACCTGATGTGCAGCCGTGCATACTCAACACCCTCTTAATATCAATCTGCACTAGCACTGTCGGCTTCGTTTTGGACCAATACCAGTATATTTAAAGGTAAAAGAGAACTGTGCTTGTACTGTACAACGTACATGTTCTCATGTCCTATACAAATTCTGAGTAAAAAAAGCATTGCATTTGTAAGACGTGAATTAACTCTAATTTCACAATTGCAGAGGATGTATCATAATTCCAGAATCTTTGTCTATTTTATGTTGTGCTCTCTGAGCATGTGACAAAAGTCATATTTCACAATGCTGTAAATTACAATCTGTATAAATTTTATGAATATAAATTTCTTTTTATTGTAATAATTTAAATGCACAATTTATTAAAAGAGTTTGATTAATATGAGTCATACTGTTTCAGGCCATCTCTTAGCATCAGGTTCAGACGACCAGAATGTGGTTGTGTGGGATTGGGCTCGTAATCGCGCGTTGCAGACCATCAAGACCGGTCATAGATCGAATGTGTTTCAAAGCAAGTTTCTACATTTGAACGCTAAGAGCCAACTGAACATAGTCACATGTGCTAGGGATGGTCAGGTAAAACAGTTTAGACTTTTCATTGTTATTATCAGTGTAGCAGTTCACTGACTTGTGTTTGAAATTTATAAAAACTAATATTAATTGACTCTGCCACTAATCTTGACACCTCAATATATTGATAAACCTATTGATTTAAAAAGTATTTTTCCCATAGGTTCTTAAAAAATTTAATTACATATATAATGACGACTGACAGTCGGGACCCATTCAAATTTTACCAATTAAATCTTTCCAAGGGGCCCCGACTGTGAGTCGTTCTGTTATTTAGTATTTCTTAACTGAATTCTAATCTACCAGGCTTGTTTCTTTTTAGTTTTTATTTAAGTTAATTTTTTCATGTATATTTTTTTTTAATTCGCTTTTATGCAATCTGGTTTTTATGGTTATATAAATAAAAATGAATTTCCGTTTGTTAGTCTCGCTAAAACTCGAGAACGGTTGAACCGATTTGACAAATTTTAGTCTTGAAATATTTGTGGAAGTCCTGGTAAGGTTTCAATGATAAGAAAAAATGTCAAAATTGAGAGTATAATACTAAAAACGACTATTCGATTTTCCCATACAAACTGTTCTTAGCTGTCAAACGTTCAGTTGACAATCAATATTTATGGTCGTGTATTGGTCAGTTTACGCAATATTTTTCAATTGTTGGTTCGTTTTGATAGCACGTAAAAAAAGACATGCTGTCGCCATTATAGCTATTAGTGCATGAAAACATTATTAATTTAAACTTTATTTATAATTATAACCCTATTATATGGTTTTTATTTAGAGGTAAGTGATACGAAGTTCACCGGGTCAGCTAGTAATAATAGTTATATAAGATACGAGTGCGGAAAGTAAGGTTTTTCGAATAAGGGCCAAATTCATTGGCACGAATTCGAAAAACCTTTTACGCTCAAGTTTCTTACAACATTTTTCAATGCTTTTTGTGAGGAAATAAAACAAATATATAGGTTAATAAAACTAAGTATGTATTAAAGGTAAAAATTATTTGTTTAAAATTAAACGTGATATTTGAACATGTTTTCGTGTCATATATTTTTATTTCAAAATATTCTTTCTAGGCTCCTTGAAATACTTTTGCCTCTAAAGTTTGACATATTTTTATCAATTTTTTTTTTAAATTTCTTTGGTCCTCGGTCAAAAAAAAATTAAAAAAAATCTTTTAAGCATGTGTGCAGTAAAGGATTTCAGTACATTGGTATTAAACACGTGTTTAAAGTCTCACTTTCGGTGTTTACAATGGATTAAAAAAATAGCGCTTCATGAGCAACCTCTTCATCTTCTGCTGATATCTGGAAGTTTCTCGGAACACTAGGTATTGGTAAATCGCGATGTTTAGACCTTCCTAATTCAATAAACTTAAACGAACTCAATCGTCACTTCAGTACTACTTCAAAGCTTGATCATCAATCGACAGCACGTACTATTAATTTCATAAATGGTTTAACGCGTCCCAAGATTGACCTTTTCCATTTCTCACCAGTCACATCGGCGGAGATCAAAAAGATTATACTCTCTATCAAATCGAATGCAGTGGGTTGTGACGATATCAGTCGTCGCATGATCACCATGGTACTCGACCATCTTCTCCCTGTTATCACGCATATTATTAACTCTTCTCTTGAATCCGGAACTTTCCCTATCCTGTGGCGCAAAGCCTATGTACGCCCCCTTCCCAAAGTTTCAAATCCAACTCAACCCAACCAATTTCGTCCTATTTCAATTCTTCCTTTCATGTCCAAAGTCCTCGAGGCATGTGTTCATAAACAATTTTCACAGTTCGTTCAGAAGAATTCCCTATTGAATCCACTGCAATCGGGATTCAGACCTGGGCATAGCACTGTCTCTGCACTCCTAAAAGTGACTGGCGATGTTAGGGCGGCGGTGGAGGACGGTAAAGTTACTTGTCACGTTCTTATTGATTTCTCCAATGCTTTTAATACTGTTAGTCACGACATCCTTCTTTCCATGCTCTCTCATCTTATGGTCTCTGACGATGTTTTAACATGGTTCTCATCTTATCTTCGGGAGCGACAGCAGATAGTCCAGTCTGGCGAGACTACTTCGTCTTGGTGCAATCTGGAAACTGGTGTTCCCCAAGGCGGCATTCTTTCACCTCTTCTTTTTTCAATTTTTATTGATTTCGTCACTCACAAACTTCAGTGTTCGTATCATCTGTACGCTGATGACTTACAGTTATACACCGAGGCAAGTATCAATGAATTAGATAATGCTATTGATAGACTTAACAGTGACTTAGCAGCTATAAAAATCTGGTCGAATAATTTTGGTGTCTCTGTTAATCCTTCAAAATGCCAAGCTATAATATTTGGGGGGCAACGAATCATGAAGAAGATTAACTTCAATAATCATGGCTCCATTATGTATGATGGTAGTTCGATCCCTTTTAGCCCTAGTGTAAAAGATCTTGGATTACATCTCGACTCAAGCTTCAACTGGCAAGCGCAAGTAAGCAGTGTTTGTCAAAAAGTGACTGGAATACTGCGAGCACTTTATCGTCTTAAAAACTTTTTGCCAGTCAATATTAAAGCTATGCTTGTGCAGTCCTTGATATTTCCTATAATCGACTATGGTGATGTGTGCTACCTCGACCTGAATGCAGATCTACTAAATAAACTCGACCGACTTCTAAATAACTGCATTCGATTCGTTTTTAATCTTAGAAAATATGATCATGTGTCCGCATACCGATCTCACTTAAAATGGATGACCATCCGACAGCGTAGAAGTATGCGAGCTCTTACTACTCTGTTTTCCTTACTGAACTCTTCGAATGCTCCGTCTTATCTCACGTCGCAATTTCGGTACATATGTACCACTCATACCAAAAACCTTCGCTCCTCCTCAAATCTGCGGCTCATGTGTCCATCGCATCACTCCGATACCATCCATTCTTCGTTTTTTGTGAAATCGATTCTGTTGTGGAATGAACTTCCGTTGGATATCAGAATGTCCACCAGCAAAGTTACATTTAAAAACAAGCTGCGTAGCTTTCTATTGGAACAGGCTAATTCGTTACACCGTTAGTCGTCTACATTATATATATATATATATATATATATATATATAGATTATATATTATATTAGTATATGTAGTTATGAAAGTATATATGTATTGTTTATGTAAGTTTATGTATTTTGTTATAGGTCTTATTTCCTCTGTTTATATCTCCTGTACAATGTGCACACTACCACCTTTTATCTCCACATCACCCATCTGGTTGACTGGTAGAAAATGCCTAAGGCATTAAGTCCGCCAATGTATTATGTACACGAAGTGTTAAATAAAAAATAAAAAAATAAATAAATAATAGTACATTATGATATTAGTGCGTTATGACGGTTATAACATGCGAGGCGGAATTTCAGCCCGAGCCGAAGGCGAGGGCGTTATTGAGCCGAGCATGTTATAACCAATACGCACGTATATCGTACGACGTTTTTTAACATATTTGCGAGGAAACAGAAAAAAAAACATTAAATAAATTCAATCTGTGAATGTACACTGTTGCTTTCCCGCCATTTTAGCTAGCGCTGCCTACTGACTGGCGCCGCGCGGCGATTAGTTCGAAATTTGAATAGCAACAGCGCGCGAAATGGCAAATAATACTGTTATGGAATTTGTTTGGACTATAACTTAACTATTTGATTTGGTAACACACGCGTTTTTTATGACCCGCTTTTCACATTTAAAACCGGAGGAATTACATCAGCTTTACGAGCAAAGGTGTTAAATCTTTTCGTTTGGCGCGTACTGAATGTTGCCGCTTTGGGTGCAGGTGCGTCTGCTGCAGTGCCCGTCGAGCGGCGGCGCGCCCGTGGTGCGGCGGCGGCTGGCGGCGCACGCGCGCGGCGCGCACAAGCTGCACGTGGGCGCCGACCAGCCGCACCTGGTCACGTCCGCGGGCGAGGACGGCCTCTGTCTGCAGTGCGACCTGCGCGCCGACCAGGTCAACAGGTCAGTGTGCACGTAGCTGCGTGACGTCACACGTCTGCATCTGTACGCCGACCGGCCGCACCTGGTCACGTCCGCGGGCGAGGACGGCCTCTGTCTGCAGTGCGACCTGCGCGCCGACCAGGTCAACAGGTCAGTGTGCACGTAGCTGCGTGACGTCACACGTCTGCATCTGTACGCCGACCGGCCGCACCTGGTCACGTCCGCGGGCGAGGACGGCCTCTGTCTGCAGTGCGACCTGCGCGCCGACCAGGTCAACAGGTCAGTGGACACGTAGCTGCGTGACGTCACACGTCTGCATCTGTACGCCGACCGGCCGCACCTGGTCACGTCCGCGGGCGAGGACGGCCTCTGTCTGCAGTGCGACCTGCGCGCCGACCAGGTCAACAGGTCAGTGTGCACGTAGCTGCGTGACGTCACACGTCTGCATCTGTACGCCGACCGGCCGCACCTGGTCACGTCCGCGGGCGAGGACGGCCTCTGTCTGCAGTGCGACCTGCGCGCCGACCAGGTCAACAGGTCAGTGTGCACGTAGCTGCGTGACGTCACACGTCTGCATCTGTACGCCGACCGGCCGCACCTGGTCACGTCCGCGGGCGAGGACGGCCTCTGTCTGCAGTGCGACCTGCGCGCCGACCAGGTCAACAGGTCAGTGTGCACGTAGCTGCGTGACGTCACACGTCTGCATCTGTACGCCGACCGGCCGCACCTGGTCACGTCCGCGGGCGAGGACGGCCTCTGTCTGCAGTGCGACCTGCGCGCCGACCAGGTCAACAGGTCAGTGGACACGTAGCTGCGTGACGTCACACGTCTGCATCTGTACGCCGACCGGCCGCACCTGGTCACGTCCGCGGGCGAGGACGGCCTCTGTCTGCAGTGCGACCTGCGCGCCGACCAGGTCAACAGGTCAGTGGACACGTAGCTGCGTGACGTCACACGTCTGCATCTGTACGCCGACCGGCCGCACCTGGTCACGTCCGCGGGCGAGGACGGCCTCTGTCTGCAGTGCGACCTGCGCGCCGACCAGGTCAACAGGTCAGTGGACACGTAGCTGCGTGACGTCACACGTCTGCATCTGTACGCCGACCGGCCGCACCTGGTCACGTCCGCGGGCGAGGACGGCCTCTGTCTGCAGTGCGACCTGCGCGCCGACCAGGTCAACAGGTCAGTGGACACGTAGCTGCGTGACGTCACACGTCTGCATCTGTACGCCGACCGGCCGCACCTGGTCACGTCCGCGGGCGAGGACGGCCTCTGTCTGCAGTGCGACCTGCGCGCCGACCAGGTCAACAGGTCAGTGGACACGTAGCTGCGTGACGTCACACGTCTGCATCTGTACGCCGACCGGCCGCACCTGGTCACGTCCGCGGGCGAGGACGGCCTCTGTCTGCAGTGCGACCTGCGCGCCGACCAGGTCAACAGGTCAGTGTGCACGTAGCTGCGTGACGTCACACGTCTGCATCTGTACGCCGACCGGCCGCACCTGGTCACGTCCGCGGGCGAGGACGGCCTCTGTCTGCAGTGCGACCTGCGCGCCGACCAGGTCAACAGGTCAGTGGACACGTAGCTGCGTGACGTCACACGTCTGCATCTGTACGCCGACCGGCCGCACCTGGTCACGTCCGCGGGCGAGGACGGCCTCTGTCTGCAGTGCGACCTGCGCGCCGACCAGGTCAACAGGTCAGTGTGCACGTAGCTGCGTGACGTCACACGTCTGCATCTGTACGCCGACCGGCCGCACCTGGTCACGTCCGCGGGCGAGGACGGCCTCTGTCTGCAGTGCGACCTGCGCGCCGACCAGGTCAACAGGTCAGTGTGCACGTAGCTGCGTGACGTCACACGTCTGCATCTGTACGCCGACCGGCCGCACCTGGTCACGTCCGCGGGCGAGGACGGCCTCTGTCTGCAGTGCGACCTGCGCGCCGACCAGGTCAACAGGTCAGTGTGCACGTAGCTGCGTGACGTCACACGTCTGCATCTGTACGCCGACCGGCCGCACCTGGTCACGTCCGCGGGCGAGGACGGCCTCTGTCTGCAGTGCGACCTGCGCGCCGACCAGGTCAACAGGTCAGTGTGCACGTAGCTGCGTGACGTCACACGTCTGCATCTGTACGCCGACCGGCCGCACCTGGTCACGTCCGCGGGCGAGGACGGCCTCTGTCTGCAGTGCGACCTGCGCGCCGACCAGGTCAACAGGTCAGTGGACACGTAGCTGCGTGACGTCACACGTCTGCATCTGTACGCCGACCGGCCGCACCTGGTCACGTCCGCGGGCGAGGACGGCCTCTGTCTGCAGTGCGACCTGCGCGCCGACCAGGTCAACAGGTCAGTGTGCACGTAGCTGCGTGACGTCACACGTCTGCATCTGTACGCCGACCGGCCGCACCTGGTCACGTCCGCGGGCGAGGACGGCCTCTGTCTGCAGTGCGACCTGCGCGCCGACCAGGTCAACAGGTCAGTGGACACGTAGCTGCGTGACGTCACACGTCTGCATCTGTACGCCGACCGGCCGCACCTGGTCACGTCCGCGGGCGAGGACGGCCTCTGTCTGCAGTGCGACCTGCGCGCCGACCAGGTCAACAGGTCAGTGTGCACGTAGCTGCGTGACGTCACACGTCTGCATCTGTACGCCGACCGGCCGCACCTGGTCACGTCCGCGGGCGAGGACGGCCTCTGTCTGCAGTGCGACCTGCGCGCCGACCAGGTCAACAGGTCAGTGGACACGTAGCTGCGTGACGTCACACGTCTGCATCTGTACGCCGACCGGCCGCACCTGGTCACGTCCGCGGGCGAGGACGGCCTCTGTCTGCAGTGCGACCTGCGCGCCGACCAGGTCAACAGGTCAGTGTGCACGTAGCTGCGTGACGTCACACGTCTGCATCTGTACGCCGACCGGCCGCACCTGGTCACGTCCGCGGGCGAGGACGGCCTCTGTCTGCAGTGCGACCTGCGCGCCGACCAGGTCAACAGGTCAGTGTGCACGTAGCTGCGTGACGTCACACGTCTGCATCTGTACGCCGACCGGCCGCACCTGGTCACGTCCGCGGGCGAGGACGGCCTCTGTCTGCAGTGCGACCTGCGCGCCGACCAGGTCAACAGGTCAGTGTGCACGTAGCTGCGTGACGTCACACGTCTGCATCTGTACGCCGACCGGCCGCACCTGGTCACGTCCGCGGGCGAGGACGGCCTCTGTCTGCAGTGCGACCTGCGCGCCGACCAGGTCAACAGGTCAGTGTGCACGTAGCTGCGTGACGTCACACGTCTGCATCTGTACGCCGACCGGCCGCACCTGGTCACGTCCGCGGGCGAGGACGGCCTCTGTCTGCAGTGCGACCTGCGCGCCGACCAGGTCAACAGGTCAGTGTGCACGTAGCTGCGTGACGTCACACGTCTGCATCTGTACGCCGACCGGCCGCACCTGGTCACGTCCGCGGGCGAGGACGGCCTCTGTCTGCAGTGCGACCTGCGCGCCGACC